CAATAGATCTATTTGGAAGAAGTGCAGCCAGAGTGCTCCTTGGAGGCCAAGATGGCTAAACTTCATCTCTCATACTTTGGACATGTTGTCAGAAGGGAACAGTCACTGGAGAAGGATATCATGCTTGGTTAGATGGAGGGTCAGAGAAAAAGAGGAAGACCCCCAACAAGATGGATCAGCCAGGTGGCATCATTGATGGCGTCAAGTATGGCAGCGGCAGTGAAGTTGGCCCAGGATAGGACATTGTTTCTTTCTGCTGGGCATGGGATTGCTATGAGTTGGTTCTGACTCGATGGAACCTGACAACAACACCAAGGTCATATTTTCCAACTAATTATCTTTGCTATTTGTTTCCAATTTTGCATACAGCATTATGTCATACTGTGTTCTGTTGCTATTTATAAGTTTTTTGCTAGTCATATAGTTTTTAGAAGTAGATTGTTGGATACTTCTTTCTTGTCTACCTTTGTTTAAAAGCTGCCCTGAAACCTGTCCAATATGTATGACGCTGCTGGTATTTGAAATACCAGAGACAGAGTTCCTAGAATTGCAGCTACACAAAGGCCACCAGAATATGGCCAACAGACAAAGAAATGATATGTACTGGAGTGTTAGCTGCAGAACTAAGATCCAGAATATAAGACAGAGTATTAGACTTAGTCTTCAGAGAAATAAAGTGAGTGCCTTTGTACAGGCTGTTAACTTTCAGAGGAGGAAGACTACAGGAATTTAGTTATGGGAGATAGGTTTGCTGACTCATGGAGTTGGAACTGAATGTCTTCATGAGTAGAGTGTCCATTGTGCATTTATAAACAGTGTAGAAAGAGCATTGTGACATTGCCCAATCTGGGCAAAGGGCCATGTCAAGGGGCCAAAATGCCAGAGAGGTATGCCTAAAGTTATGACAGAAAAAAAGTTTATCCTGATCAAATAATTGTACCTTGAACTTTTCTGATCCTCAATTGTAAACTGTCAATTTCTCTAATAAAGTTCATAATCTTGAGTATGGTCTATGGTTTCTGTGTGGTCATTGCAATGAATTATCAAATCCAAATGAAAAGTAGAGTGTGCTGTAGGAGAGAGAGGTAGTGTCTAAATCTGTTAAAGAAAAGTTGGATAGTAAAGGCATTTCTAACATCAACCACCTTAGAAATTGACCTTGGATTAATAAATCTAATTTTTCTTTCCCCTGATGAAGTGAGAGGATGCCATTTATACATATATTGAATTAATTGGCTCTTTTTCTTTTTTTTAACCAATGCATTGTCACATTTCTATCCATTTATACAACTATCCCTCACTCAAACAATGCCTGCTACATTGGACCATGCTAATGAATGTGAGGGGAAAGTATAAAATAACATTTACCTGAAAGATTATATTAACAGAAATTTCCACGTTCTTTTTAGTGTCCTTCAAATTGAAATCACATTATATATTTGCTTCATATTGATATGTGTGGTATTCTCAGGCAGTCTTTGTATAAGAGTAAGTTTAGAAGATATTATTTTTTTCAGTTCATGTTATTTCAACATGAAAAGGGATGCTTGACACATGCTATGCTCTGTGGAGACAAAAATAAACAATGATTCTTCTCTCTTAAGCTCCAGCTAGAGGGGAATTTGTGTTTGAATATTTGAGTAAGGAAGACTTTGATGACATCAAGGAACTGTGACTTCTAAGAATGTCCTGAATTCCTAGGTTTACAACATAGAGATCTCAGAGAAAGATGAAATACTTAAGAGAGCAATGAAAGCAAACACTATAGCTTTGAGGCATTCAAGGATATCATCATTTGTCTTTATGTGCAGATGACAGCTGACAGAGGACAGCTTGAATATTAGCAGTAACAACAGGGAAAAAATAAAAAGCAGTTTGACAGTACAAGAAAAAATTCTAGGGATTGAAATTTCTTAATAGACATACAGCTTGTGGGCTTCTTTTAAAAGACTTTGATTATGTATACCTACAAAACATATATTCTAACAAAACTTTTATAAAACTCCAAGAGTTCAAAGTTAGGATGAGATTGATAATCAATAACAATGTTTCTTAATAGGACACACTTTTCAGTATGTCTATTGATAAATTTCCTAATTGGATAGCAGGTTTCGATGAGAAAATTGAGTTTAGTTACTTCTCTCTTAAATGAGTTTTACTTTTCCTTTCCTCATTTATTGTGCTTTCAAACAGCAGAACAAAAGATGGTAAAGAGCTAATCAGTAACCTTGAGAATGCATTAGAAGGGAGCCATGTATGGGAGCATAGCAGTTAAAGCTATAGTAACAGAAAGATGTTAGTCCCAAAACTTACGGATAATTACTATGGGAAAATTATTTCTTTTGGCTTAAAAATTCACTTCTATAAAACTAGAACACTGCTTATTTGGCAGAGCAAATGAAATGATATATTTAAAGCAATTATTATGTTGTTGTTGTTATGTGCCATCGAGTCGGTTCCGACCCATAGCGACCCTGTATAGGGTTTCCGAGGGTGTAAATCTTTACGGGAGTAGA